TAGTGTCTAAAACGTCGGATGTACAATGAAACTTTGATTTGTGTTATTTATAAAGCATTAACAGACCCTGAGTTATTTCTTTATATATATTAATCGCATTAAAAATAATCTAGCGAAAAAATAGAAAGTTAGTTATTTTTATCGACACTAATGATATTTTTGCAATTTGATTGATTTATGTTAATATGATGTCATCAGATCTGTGATCTGCAGTAATATCATATTGACGTATTTCACATAGTACCCATGGCATCCAGGTTTTAAGTTTAGACAATGCATCAAATACGTTAAAAAACAGTCAAACTTACATTCGTTTTATTTATTTCAAAGACTGCGTTACGCGAAACAATGACCGTCTATCCAACTTCAGCGTGTTGACAACTCTTGAGAAACAGCTGTGCTATTGAGCATTTAATTATTTCTTGGCAATTGAGTACCCATTATCTCTTAGACCCTGTATTTATTTGCTTCATCTTTGATAAGCTAACTGTGGTAAATTTCCAAATCAGTTTGTGAACGCAGACAATAATTCATGAGTCATATGAAAGAATATCCCCGTCAAAACCTTGAACAAGGTCCCGGATGGAGCTCCAGGGGCGGATCAAGTATCCTCTTACCAGGAGGTATATGTGTGTGTGTTTGTGTGTGTGTGTGTGTGTGTGTATGTGTGTGTGTGTGTGTGTGTGTGTGAGTGGGGGGTGATCTGATAAAAAATATTTGAAGCATCGCCAATTTCTTGTTTCGGTGTTCTGAAACTTTTACATAATTTTGTACTTTGTATTCCAACTGGGGTTTGCGGGGGAGGGGCACATCGGGACCCCGTGCCCCTAATTCCACTAATGAATTTAAAAAGAGAAGACATTTATTGAATAGGAACAGGGATTGTTATTGTTCTCATAATCACTGAAAGAAAACGTTCTTTGCTATTGTTTGGCTCGATGAATCATAACGTTCTTGGCCAGCTGGCAGCAAAACTAATTCATGACTGGAATGTACATCAGCTACAATCCTCTCAAATTTAATTTAGTTTTGGTTGAATACCGGTATTTTACAAATTCCATTTGTTTGTTTGCGAAGATAATATAAGTGTTTATTGGAAGGCCTGGAATCTCTAGTTATATTAACTTTATCAGGCAAATCAAAACAACAACAGAAGATAAAACAATAAAAATATAAGGCAATAAAACAAAATGAAAACAAGTCGCAAAAAAGCAGTAAACAAAAATATCAACAAAACAAGAGCAAATATAAACACTGAAAATAATATAACAGAAACAAACAAACAACCACACAAACAAACAATCAAGCAAACAAACAAACAAATTAAAAAAAAACTATTAGAAAATTGCTGTTGGTCTTGAGCCGATAGGCAACATATAAACGTAACAAACATATGCATATATCGTCGGTTGGCAGCTTCTAAAAGTAAACCATTTCAATCGAATGGAAGGAAAGGCGCAGTTTGCATGCTATGGATGTATTTCAGAATCAGGAAATATCTTGCAGAGATGAGATGAAATACGGATGTGTCCATGATGAACACACAAGCGCATACGCAGCGGGGATGGAGGGGGGGGGGGGTTAGGGGTTGAACCCACCTCAATTTTGTTTAATGTGTGTGATTTTTGATTAACCCCCCCCCCCTCAATTAAAACAAATATATATATCTATATATTTTTGTGTGCAAAAGGGTGACCAAAAAAATAGTGACCCCCCCCCCCTCACTGAAAGAAATATCGGTAGGCCAAATTTTGAAATTTCCAGGCCCCCCTCCCCCCAAAAATGTGCTCTTACCCCCCCCCCCCCCCGCTTATTCAGCGGCTGGCTGAGGCGTTGCGAAATTTTCGGCGCGATATTTGAAAATGTTAACCCCCCCCCCCCCCCTTGAAAAAATCCTGCGTACGCCTATGTGTACACATACCGTCGTACCTAAGGCGATTTGATGTATAGATATGCTACTTTTTTGTTTACATCTTGACGTATATCTACTATTTAGCATCTTCATGTCCATTGGAAATACAAGCTTAAGGATCCAATGTTTCCAAAGGGAAATCTGACAAAGTTCCTGGCACAACGTACAACGTAAAAAAAACCTGTCGTAAACATTCAAGTAGTTGGCAATATTTCATCTTTCCTGAACGAAAGGACAGCAGATAAGGAAGACCCCCAAAAAGAGGAAAAATCATTCCGTAGTCAGGGATTATTAGAGTACCATGATTACTGGGAGCCGAGAACTAACTCCGGAGATAAAAACAAAATAGAGATATGAATCTAAAATGAGCATTCGTGGAGGATTATTCTAGATATCTTTGGTATTTGTTGAGGATATTCTGTTCACGCTTAGGGCAATACACGTTCTGATAAGGGTTTCTGTCATTTATGTGCAAGATGCGTTTTCTGTTATCGCCGGCAGATTCGCAGATTAAAACGACTTTGGTTTTTAGCCCTCTTCCCCTTTCTTTCTCATAAATATATCTGCCCTTTCTGAAAATATTTATGTCCCTTTTACAATAATAAATACGAACATTGACGTAGTAAGTAACAAAACGAAAACTTAAGGTTTCTTTTCTTATCTGCCATCAGAAATTGAGATAATGTTTTCTGAAATAGCTAAGAGATTAAAAGATAAAAACGTCTTTCCTTTCGCGCGTACTAATGATTTTGTTTCGGTGTAAGTGTTCCTACAATTTCCTAAGTATCAATGTCGGTAACTTCATATAAGCATTTGAAGAGTTGATCCATGACATTCGGAGATCGGTTGACGCGAAGCTGTAAAACAGATGCTCAACTATCAGTCACATTGCAAAGCTCGAACCTCTTGATTTAAATGGCACATACATTAATACCGAGGGGGAAGCGGGAAATCAGAAGGGAAAAGGAAATTATCCTCAAGGGTTCATTATATGGAACCTCTTGGATTTCCGGGGGATATACGGCTACTAGACGAGAGACAAATTTGCTATACTCGCTTTAGGGGCGGCTTTAGATTTTTCTCGAATTTATTTTGGATGTCGGACAGAAAATCATTACAAAAAATTGCTTTAAATTCCTGAACAAGCCATCTTTAAAACAAAGAAACCTCAAGATGTTCAAATCTTCCGACTAGGGTAATGACAAGGAATCGAGATTATTAAACAAAGTTGTTAATGTTAAAATGAGGAGGGGGCAGGAAGGGTTTGTAAAACACCTCCGTCACAACGCCACCCTCTCTAAACGCGATGATGCCCCTAAGCGCTCTCTAGATGGGCAGGAAAGGACAGATCAGAGAATTTTAGAGATAAGAGCAGAATGGATGAGAAATGAAAGAGATAAGAACAAAGGGAGGAAGGATGTACATCATCATGAAGACGAACATGAAATGGATGCAGCCGGTAGATAGAAAAGAGCGGGAAGAGAGACACACATTCATGACCACAGCAAAACGAAGTAACTTTTTTTCTTTCTTCACTATGATGTGGCAATAGAAAGCCGGGTATGGTTATGTGGGGTGTGAAAACCCTTCTTCTGTCACTTTGTCTTCTGGAGATTGTACATCTTCAGCAAGTATAGTTTGAAGAGATGTATGGAATGGCGTCCTAGCGTCCTTCTTCTCCTCTTCAATTTCTTTCTCTCCATTTTTCGCAATGAGAGGGAGGGGAGGGGGGGGGGTTGTAAATCAGGTGACCATCCCGAAGCTACGCCAATGCTAAAGTTAGCTATACCATTAAGAGTTATCTAAAGGGCATCTTCATGCGGACATCTTTCACCGTATAGATAACCACTCAATCATGGTGCTAAATTGAGCGTACACGCGCAGGGATTGGCAATGGACACCACGCCCACCTTCCTTCCATGGGTTGTTATAGAAACAGACAACACGAAGACTGCTCTTTTATGCTTCAATTCTTAATCAATTTGAGGGTGAGGTTTATACGAATGGCATACGTTTATTTGCAGCTAAAATGTGTACACATTGTATACATACAAAAGCCATGAAACTTCCAGGCCCTTTTTTAGAGGTTAATGTTAAAACTAATATACGCAGTAATTAAACTTTCAAGATTTTTTAACGCTAGAACATTACTAGATTATTTAAACACAACCAGTTTCAGTTTTAAAGACATCCCATAATAAATAAGGGCAAACATATATCAAATTTGTATCTATATAATTACACAAAAGAATCCACTCCGAGTCCTCTACGTACGTGCGTAAGTAATTTAGATGGGGGAAACTAAAGTATATTGACAGAAAACACCTTGTGCCACACCTAGATTAGGATGCTTACGCTTACACTTTCCAATTGACCACAAAACATGCACGTGAAATAAAACCTTTATAAAGAGTTACTACCCCCACCCACTCAATCACGCATGAGAAAAGTATCCCGCCACATCCCACATTCCACTTATCATAATTTGAATTAAATCATACGTTGTTATCTAATGGAACGAACTAAATTTTCTTTACTTTGAATAAAGAGAGATATAAACAGCATTCCTACACAATCAGTATATTATAATAAAGGACAAATGTATTCACACATTTTTTTCTCCAAATGACCACATCTTCATCATCATCACTTTTTTTCTTCTCATAATTTATACCATTATCATCATGTCATGAATGTCATGATGATTATGGTGACGATGGTGATGAAGATGATAACGATTATTATTATTATCAATATTATCGTTATTGTTATTGTTATTATTAATGTTGATGCTATTAATATTAGTATCATCATCATTATCACCACCATCATCATTTTTATTACTGTTATGATAATCATCATCATCATCATCGTTATCACAATCTTCTTAATTATCATTAGCCTAATAATCCATACTTCTCATTAGCGTAAGTCAGTATTGTTATTGTTAGTATCATCACCATCATCATCATCATCATCATCATCATCATCATCGTCGTCGTCGTCGTCATCACCATCATATGAACGATCATTAGCCTACTAATCCATACTTATCATTAGCGTAAGTCAGTATTCATCATATATTTACCAGTACTTTCGATCCCTCGGTCAGGGCATGGTGCAGACGGTCGTCCATCTCTGTCTTGGTGCGTTTGGCAGTCTTGCTGGCCTTTTCAAACTCTATCCTCGTGTCCAAGAACTTCTTGGAGACCAGCTCCAGCTTGTTCAAGACATTCTTCTTCTCATCCTCCACTTTCTTCAGTTTATTCTCACTCGCCTCAAGCGATAGACGTACATTTTCGAACTGTAAATCAATGGTGTAATGACAAATGTTATACAGAAACAGAAGACAGAACATAATTTATATTATGGGGTGGAAACCACAACGATTATGATAATATACAGTATATATCAAAGAAATCTTAAAAGAAATTTAATAACAACAAATATGAAATAGCCGTATAGAGCAATACGAATTTGTTCGTGGTTTTCATTATTATTGTTATCATTATCAACATCATCATCATCATCATCAACAACGTCATCACCATCTTCGTAATGATCATTTACCTAATAATCCACTTTAGCGTAAGTCAGTATTCAAGTAATTGGATCCTGTCGTTGATTACAATTGATTAGTTCTCCGTACACCGCATTGCTTTCGCCTGTTCTATTGTATGTAAAATGTATGAATCATGCCTATGCCTTTGCTTTGTTATATTCATGAAAATCGGTATGAAAACGGTTTTGAATGTATGTCATGTTGTATTTTTCATATGGTCGATCAATAAAATTATTTTAAAAGTTAATAGTGATGCGCAAAATGCCAAACCAACTGTAACCGGACCCTTAACTGGGCCATTTAGGGTAGTAAGGACAATGCAATCTTTCGTAATATCTATTTATCGATCTGGACCCCGTCTGATAAAAAGTTATGAATAATCGCTATTTTATTGCGATTGATATCAATCGCAACTATGTACATTAGTGTTAGCCGGCAAATTTGCGATTGATTCGGATCAATCGCAACGCTTTATAAGACAGGGCTGTGGTGTTATAGAGTTAAAGATAATCATGAGTTATGGTTAAAAAAGAAAGAAAATGAAATCTCACAGAATCAAACGAAACTTACACTGAATGTTCAAGATTACAAATAAAATGTCATTTGCCAAACAATTTTGGTAGAAAGTGTATACTGGCTGAGTAATGAGCATAGAAAGATTAGGAAATCAACGTTAGTAGTAGCCCCGACACCATTTGTGTAGTACCATATACATCTTTCTGTGTACAGTGCTTGTTACTTTACCAAGACTGGTCCAAATTTATCATGATTTTGATGACTCCAGAACTTTGCATTACACACTAATACTTACATGCTACATGATCAAATTTTTCTGATCCATTCCACACTATTTCTTCCTCAATGCAATCGGATGATCAGAACTCACCTTTATCTTTAAATGCGACGATGGATTTCGAAGTGATTTTATGTTGTGTCACATATCTTGACACTCAGTAGGGGGTTCTCTATAACAGATGACTCATGAATGCATTTGTCTTCTTGTTGATGTCTGAAGTTGACTCAAACCCCCAATTTCCTGACCGGTCATACGTGCACTCACAACATGAGTAATACATTGATAGGATGTGACTTTGGTGGATACTCGCAAACAGCGATGAGGTTACTAAGGACCATGGTGTAAACTTTATTTGAGTCTTTTGAAATATTCTGCGTAAATGTGATTTACTGACCACTGACCATATTTGTCCCTCGTTCGAAAACGAGAAAAAATAAACTAATATATTTAAATAAATATACTGAATAAAACGAGTCTACTTACAGGGGAGTGTTTTACAAAAACTAAGATTGACTTTAAGTTCTTCTTCTTCTTCTTCCAGTATAGTACAGTCCGCCGTTGGCGTATTATCGTACCTTGTGCTTGTCAAGTGAGTGCCGAGTGTACAGTGCAAGTAAAAAGGCTCTACAAGAATTCTATGTGCAGCTAAAAAACAGTCTGAAGCTCAACTGAGCTTGATGTGTTGCACCTTCTGCTTGAAAAGTTCCAAAGAGGTGCAACCGACGACAGCAGTTGGACTTAACTAGGGGGGGGGGGTCTTGCCGCCTGTTGTTCTAATTTCACCTTTTCTTTTTCTAAATAAAAGGCTCCTAATTGTGGTTTAAAAAGATATTTAGACAAAATATACTTGAATACACGAATTTCAAATGAGGGCACCTCTCTGATCAATTACGAGACGATGGTTGAATATTGGTATGTAAACAATTGTTAACGGGGGAGTGGAGCTGTATACCCCTGGTACCCAGCCTCCTATGCTACCATAGCGAGTTCATTTACCTTTAGCATACGTTGCTCGTATGAGCTCTGCAGCTGGAAGTCCGCCGTTGTCCATCCGGAGTTCGACATCATGATAAGAATGAGAAACAAACCTAAGATGGCGATGACGGTGAAGAGAACGAAGATCACGCTGCTGCACTGGACCTTGGTCATCGCACCCGTGATCGACTTGACCTCGGGCCCTCTGACCGAGTACGGATCCCAGATCAGCTCGGAGATTGGTCCGCCGCGTTTTGTCATTTTAAAGGGAATATCCACCCTACTATCAAGATATTTCAATTAAATAAAAAAAGGAAGGAATTAGTAGGGGAAAAAAACACACAAAACAACTTCGAAATAGTTGTGAAGAACATCTTCCAGGGGAAACTTAAGTTCTTTTGTTTACCCTTTTCGAGTTGATCTCCATTTATCATGTTTGCAAAGACTTTGAAGAAATAAAATCAAGGGAAATTTAGATACCCTATTGTACATGTACATGCCTTTAAAATCATGTGCGGATTATTGGATACGTTTTTGTCATGTTCACGCATTAAACAAATTTGCTGGCTGCTAACTTATATCTTAGAAGTCAGATTCAAACAAAACACTAACCAAATCATCAACTAACCAACAGCCCCAGGGGTCCCCTGCTTTGAACCCCTAAATGTCTTCACCATACCTTTCCCGATGCTCATATTTAATAAATATTGCCACTTGAATATACTCACAATCAGTGAGTGTCGTCTGAATTCTCATATTTGTGTGTGCATGTAATACAAAGTGTACCGATCATTACGTTTAGACATTTAGCTTAATAGAAAAATGTCGTTTATATGCGATGAGGCCATCTAAACTCACTTAATATTAATTAAATTAGCTTGTTCTAAAGTTCAGGTTATTGGTAAAAGTTTATGGGCTTTCTCATAATTTGCATGTGTATGCGACATAATATCATAACAGAAATATCCCATGGAAATGATTGCCCTTGAAATACTCTGATAAACTAAACAACAACTACAAATATATTAGGTCTTCACACCAATTTCGAGGTCACATGTTTGTGCAGTCCAATGTACTCACATCTGTGTCAGTGATTTTCATTCTCTACCATTGCCTGTGATTTATTTGAGCATGATTGAGTCAATTGTTAATTTTCTGATGATTTCAAAAAGATATATACCTTACATATCATTCCCAATAGCTTAAAGCTTTTATTCACAATGAGAATTGCATGATTAGAATTATTTGCTGGCCGCTACTCAATGTTACCTTTAAGTATGTCCGTGGAAGTTTGGTTTAATCACCTCCAACGCAAAGTATCCAGTAGCAATCCCGATGCGCGCCGATGATACGGAAATATGATGACTGATTTCATTAGTAGTAGCGTGAAGGCACAATAAGGTCTTGGTATTTTCCTTTCAGGTTTACAACGGGGGCGGTTCCATTTTTTCTGATCTAATATACAGATATAAGGTCGTTGTTTGAAACAGAAGAAGAGATAACGGAGCCTTCCTGGTAAATTCAATTCACTGGATGAGTCTTTCCTCTTGAAATGCAATCACTGAATCGGCTGCTGCCCTACCTCAGTCACGCTGATGAGACCGACACCTACATCAACAACTGACCGAACACAAATTACATTTCACCGAATGGACAAGGCTTTGTAGATGGTCGATCGGTTTGGAAGCTGTTTGCAAGTGTGACAGAGGAATAATATATTAGGCGCACCCGTAGAATATGTTCTTTAACATCCAACTTCATGCAGTAGTTAAAGACATGAGAGATAACAAATATGTGTCTGTTCTTTAAGACAACAATCAAACTGTCTCTTTAAATCAAGTTAAAGTTCTTCTTAAATCTTGTTCCTTAAAAAGAGAGCGTTTCGCCTTTCGATTGTATTCTGGATTGAACACGACATGTTCATGTTTCCAATAAGATGAGACTTCACCGCGTGTTTCTGTTTCAAACGACGCCGATGTGAGGCCAAAAGATCCTTGAAGAAATAACGAACAATCACATCGCTTGAACACTATACACTATTAAACAACATCCATTGTTCCAACTCCTTGCCAATATACGAGAGGACTAATAAGTCTGCAAAGACAACTTGAGTTTGCTAATCTAACATTTGTCGAGTGAACAAGCCTTGGAAATGAACTTGTTAAAGCTTGGAAACGTAATGAAGCCGGTGCATGAGCGGTAATACTATCTCTGCATCATAACGACCCACCGATGATAATCTGCATGTAACTTTAACCGAGTTTGTATGATTTTGGACAATGATAGGACAGCCCGCTTGAAAACGAGCCAAGTTCGGGTTCATGACTCTTTCAGGAGGCGTCCATACCGGCTTCTATTCCTGATTCGATTAGTCGTTAATGGTTGATCATGAACGCTGAAAATTCGTGAAATGCATGTCTTGCACAAAGCGATGTTATTGTTTATACTGTCCATGCAAGCAGACAGCACAACAACAACAAATAACAATACCAACAATCCAAATTCCAACGAAGCAAAGCAAAGCAAAGCAAAGCAATAAAAGGAAAACACAAAGAAAGCAACAAAGAAACTTACAAGAACATCATATCCAAAGATAAGTCTCAAAGTTTCATGTTGTGTGATCGGATCACGAACTTCAAATGGCCCAGTGTCTGTTGCATGGCTGTGGTGTTAATTGGAACTTTTTTGCTCTTTACACAAAAAAAGGGGGGGGGGGGGTCAAACACAAATAGTTTTAACTTCGATGCAGGGTCGCTAAATATTTTGAAGAAAAACATAGAACTCATTTTTAAGTTGCATCACCAATCAGATGCCATCTTCAGTGATTTATTTTGAAAATTAAGTAAACTCATAATTTTCGTAATTCGATAACTTTCTGAATTCGCAAACGGAACTTTATTTGGAGGATGGAGATATCACACATCCCCTCCATTTTCGCTGTCCATATGGCTATACGGGCAAGCCTTTTCAATTCTGAATTAGACTTATATATAAACGTACCATTTCCTGGTTAAATTAGCACATACCGAGTAAATCAGATTAAGAAAGTCCCGTATAGACGCACTTTATCCAGGTCGTGCGCAAGGGAGTGGAAAGAAAAGGAGGCCTTGTGTCATTGAGGCCCGTGCAAGTCTTTCCTTTCGTCTTACAGATACAGTTAATCTATGGTCATGTAAATACATTACGGTGAAAGATACTCGAAACTAGGTTGATGTTACACATAGATATTGGAGTAACCTGCGAGGGAATGGGATCGTCAACCTGCTGAAGTGACACGCGCTGCACACGTAAACGTTTATATGGGACTACACATACGTGTGGCATAAAGGTTTGGTCCTAACCAAAGGCAGCCATTTCCTTTCTTCTCTATGAAATTGTTCTACTCTGGCATAAAGGACGAACATACAATGTGTATCGCTACTACTTTTGAAGGGAGAGTCCAACGTTAAGGTGGTATTGAGGAGTAGCTAACACAAGCGAAATGAGAGAAGCAGATGAGCGAACGTTTGAGGTAAAGCCGGATAAAATCAATAAGAGAGATATGATTTTTGTTTAAAGGTGTTATAGAGCAAACGCACAATGCCAGTTCGAAATGGAAGGATTAAAGGATAACAGACTTAAACAATAGCGAGCAAGATACATCAAGCCCTTAAAGCAACTGAAACATAGATCTTTATGGTAAAACAAATCTGGTTAATTCAAGAATAATTGATAAAATAATTGGATTTTAGGGTGTGTCGAGAAATGAGGCAGAAGAATGTAGAACCGTCACACATATCACTTGCGACGGGAATCGACTTAAAATTCCTGCTTGTAACATCATGTAAGCTACATGTATTTAATTTCGTGAATCAACTGTGATTAGAAACGTTGTTTTCACAGGCTATATACATGGCCCAAGTGGAGAGGGACATTTCTTATTTTACTGTTTTATCATTACAATCAGCTATCTTTCTGCATGTGCGTCAGTGGTGTACTGTTTCTCGTTTCATGAAGTTAGTGGCATCGATTTGAACATGTTCATCGATCCCCTTGATTTGTTTTACATCCATTGGGTTAGAGAAGGAGAGAGAGAGAGAGAAAGAGAGAGAGAGAGAGAGAGGGGAGAGAGAAAGAGAGAGGGAGAGAGAGAGAGAGAGAGAGAGAGGAGAGAGAGAGGGAGGTAGAGGGATAGAGAGAGAGGGGGAGAGAGAGAGAGAGAGGAGGGAGAGAGAGAGATAGAGAAGAGAGAGGGGAATGAATGAGAGGGAGAGAGAACGAGAGAGGGAGGGAGGGAGGGAGAGAGAGAGAGGGGGGAGAGAGAGAGAGAGAAGAGATAGAGGGTAGAAGGAGAGAGCAAGCTAGAGGAAGAATAAGGAGACTTGAAGAAGAAGAAGAAAAAGAAGAAGAAGAAGAAGAAGAAGTAGAAGAAGAAGAAAAAGGAAGAAGAAGGAGGGGAAAAAAGAGGAAACAAGAAGAAAGGGAAAAAGAGAGGAAGGAAAAAATGGGAGGAGAAGGAGGAAGAGGAAAGGGATTATGTTTTAAAGTTATTTAGAACGCTTATTGAGGCGTCAAACACAAAAGGATGGGAGGGGAAAAGGTTGGGCAGAGATAGAGAGAGAAATCGAGAGAGAGAGAAAGATAGGGGAGGGAGAGGAAGAAGAAGAGATATAGGAGAGGAGGTAAATGGATAAATAGAGAAAAGAAGATAGATTGATATATAGAAAGAAAATGATAGATACTCAAACCCTAAAGCATATATGAAATGGTAATGAAAAATAAAACAATTGCGACTGATCTGTCGGGGGGGGGGGGGAGGGGCACGTGCCCCTTTGTAAAAATTGTTAAAGCTTTTCTTGCTGATTGTTAAAAAAAGTATTTCTTTGCCATGCCCCTCGATGCTGGATGAGCAGCGGATGTGACGGAGGCTCCTCGTGATTGAAATTGAAGCGTTTTTAGTTTGAGAGGGTGGATCGACGCGGCCGGAGAGAGAGCCATCAGACCTTAACCGCTATTAATATGATGGTTGGTGGTCTGTTTGCATGTGTTCGCCTAGTGACTGCTAAGAAATCATTTGCGTGCATTTCACTAAGCAACCGGGGAAGTATATCTTTAAATCGTCTCAGAGAGGCTGTTCACACCGGCAGAGATAGCGCGGTCTAGCGCGCGCTCTATCGCGGGCTAGACCGCGCTATCTCTCGTGGACCACCCCCAAGAGGTGCTCCAGTACTGGCACGCCGTTTTGGCTCGCCGTGGCTCGCTGTTGGGCGGACCGAAACGACGTTGTACCTTCCACACCGCAAATATAGCGCGCGCTAGACCGCGCTATCTCTGCCGGTGTGAACAGCCTCAGAGAGAGTATGTAATGAGGATTAACTACCAAAAGACACTAGCGCATCGACTTGGTTTCGAACCCAGAATCTTACGGCTTCGAGACCGCTGCTCTACCGCTGAGCCATCGTGCCTCTTAGTATGACTCCCAGAAAATGTTCTCTTTCTATATTTTCATGTGCGTAACATGAAATTCAACAAATCGTAGCTACGCCATTACCTACAGTGTCTTCCAGTCACGATAGTAGCCGTACGTCAGAAAATGACGCATCGTTATTTCAACCCCACTTCCCATCCATTGACACGTAAACGTCTTCTTTGTAATTCTATGTTATATATCCCATTTTATGACATTTCTATTTTGCCATGTCGGGGTCTTTGAGGCAATTCACCACCTCACTCGTGAACTAAAGTTTTTTAAGAAGCATCTCAAAGGGTTAGATAACCGCCAAGAATACCTGTCTAGAGAGACCAACTGTCTCAACAAATTGTGAAGAACGGGAATATAGAAGATTTGAAAAGGTCAGCACTACTATAAATTCCTCGAAGCCCATCCAAATCAAGTGGCGGTAGGTAAGACGGATAGGAAAGCACTTTGCTCTTGCTTGTTTTCATCCTTCAAGTCACATAGTGTGTTCAATGACGTGATGTGGTCTATCTATAATCCTGCCCCAGACAAGATGCAAGTCAAACACCACCCATTTACATGATTTAAATCCCAAATTAGAACCATGAGGACGCTAAGGTAAGACCATCGATCACACCACCGAACCGACTGCCAACCGAATTGAAGTCCGATCGATTATTGGCCGTTTAGGGTAGGCTAATGTGATCTCTGTCGATCTGGGCAATGTTTTAGGAGACTGTCGTTAGTACAAGTTCACCGACATCCTGTTGAAATGCTTAACATTTAATACACGAACTTGTACTAATGACGGATTTGTGAAACAATTCCTTGTGTCAGTATCGTTGTCGTGACTAGCCTGTGGTAAACCCAGGAATTGGTATTTACATGTTCTATGTTAACTTTGTATATAATATGAATTTCTGATTTTTATGGCCAAATAAATAATAATAATGATATTAATATAACATTTTAGTTAAAATGTAGACCAATGCAGTGTGTTAGAAAGTTGTCACTAACATACCCCCACCCTCAACGCACCCTCAAGGCACCAAACTAACGTTAATGCCCTATCCTGACCCATGTTCTTTCGCACCCAATCCCTATACATCACCAACATTATATTGGTAAACAACATGAAATGTGTTTTCTTCGTCTACAGTGGCACCGTAATATTCTGCCTTGACAATACATATTTGTTGTCATCAAAATCAAAGCTTTTGAAAATCTCTAGAAAAAATATTTAGCTTCAGAAAATGAAAATTTAGCTTTGTGTGAAGTGAGAGCTTCATATTACCGACATTCTCTGTTCCCCCTCTCTTCCCCTATCTCTCTCTTTCTTTCTCTCATTCTCTCTCTCTCTCTCTCTCTCTCTATTAAACCTAACTAATGAGGCACCCGAAAATACTAAGGGGTTTATCTGAGCCTAACTTAGTTTTAGGTACAAGTCATATTTTAAATAAGAGCAGGTCGACATGATAATTGGTAGCAAAAACAAAAGTTAATGAAAGAGACATCGAGACTGCAAAAGAAACCCAGGCAGCCTAAACTCAAAATGCCGTAGCTCATTCTGGCGCAAAACAACATGGCGACAACAAAGTCTTGGCGTACTTGGTCTCCATATGACGCACATGTAAATCTCCCCTAATAGTATTATCAAATTACAATCGACGCCTGTGAAACAGTTAAAAATGCACTAAACTGTATTACATTTCCTCTGATAAACCGATGTGATCTGAATGTACTTTTGAAGGTACAAATTTGTTTGATTTAAAGGATATTCTGATAGTCTAGACTAAATCTTTCGCGTCGTCGAAGTCTAACATTTGTATTA